CCCACCCGCCCTGGTTCCCCCTAAAAATTTATTAAAACACCCCTGTAAAAAAGCTCTCAGATTAAATAATTTAAATAATTTTTTGCTAGTGACCACTGCATGCCACCTCTCAGGGTTCCACACCCCATCCTCGAGGTAGGCCCTGGAGATGTTATAGGGCCAGGCCTGCGCGAGGGGTGAGTTGCGCAGGGCCAGCAGGACCGTTTTAGTGTACATAAGTCCGATCAGAGGGAGTCCATGGCGTAGAGGGGGAGGATGATTTAATACCCCTCAGATCTTCCAAACCAAAGCCGAAAGGAGACAGGAAACATGCCTTAAAATTGTCAAGGTTGAGAAACACTGATCTAGAAGACAAATAAAGACCAATGGGTTCATTTCTTCTTGTCCTGCAAAGCTTGAACTATCTTTCTAATGCTTGGCCTCTTGTCATGGCAGGTGGAAGAAGCTGATGATTGGCTAAGACATGGAAACCCCTGGGAGAAGGCTAGGCCAGAGTACATGCTTCCTATTCATTTTTATGGAAGAGTAGAGAATACAGAGACTGGTGTGAGATGGGTTGATACTCAGGTAATGTCCCTTGGAGAAGGGAAGCACATTTCAATCATGTTAATTGTGGGGTGGGAGAGTTTCAAATATTCTCTGCAACCGTCAAGCTTAATTGTGCGAACTTAAGCAGAAAATTCCTACCAGGCAAGTCTAATGTGCAGCCATCTTGTAGAGGAGAATCATGTCTGCTGGCCCAAATTCTTTATGTAAATAAGATTTAATATCTAAATGCATCACAAAATCTAAGTAGGGGAAGACTTTGTTTCAGATTAAAATCCATGTACCACTTTTGTTTTCATTAAAATGCTTAAGTAGTTTAGAACAGTGGTCCCCATTCTTTTTGGCCCTAGGGACCGGTTTTGTGGAAGACAATTTTTGTGTATAGGCTTAGGCATGAGCAATAAATCTTCTGAACTGACATGTGATCCTATTTTTCGCACCTGGCAGGAACCACTGAATATTCTTTTCTTTTTTTTATTGAAAATTTTATAAAATTTTACAATATAAATCCCCCCTCCCCCCAAACCCAACCCTCCCTCCCTCCCCCCCTCACTTCCCAGAGCCAATCACAGGATTAACAATAAAATAATCATAATCTAACTAACATTAATCAACTATTAATCTAACAAATCTATAACTTCCTTTAACTCTCTTTTAAAACAAATATACAATTATTAAATACCATCATTTTAATATAGTTTTAAATATTAAAAATCAGAAGTTCATTCAAAAACCAGATGATATTTTTTTGTTCCATATTTCGACTCAATATAAACAATCCATCTTCTCCAAACCAATATATATCTTTCTTGTGAGTAATCCTTCACATAAGCGGAAATCTTGGCCATTTCAGCTAAGTTTGAGACTTTAACTACCCAATCTTCTATAGTAGGTAAACCTTTCATTTTCCAATGTTGAGCAATTAACAATCTTGCAGCCGTTATAAGATTTAACATCAACTCCATTTCTTTTTTATCCAAATCTTCCAAAATACCCAACAAAAATATCTGTGGTTTAAACTTTATCTTTTTCTTAAAAATATTTTGAATGTTCCACCAAATCTTAATCCAAAATGCTTTAACCACATTACATGTCCACCACATATGAAAATACGTTGCATCTAAATTTCCACATCTCCAGCACTTGGGTTGTAAGTTAGAATACATACAAGACAATTTCTGTGGATTCAGATGCCACCTATAAAACATTTTATAAAAAATTTCCCTTAAGTTTTGGGCTTGAGTAAATTATAATATTCTAATGTTAGAATAACATTCCATTTTAAACCCAATATAACTGGGGCAATCTCTGTCTTTAGGTTGTTTTGGCTTTGCCCTATGATACTCCTATTCCTGGTTATATGAACAACACAGTTAATACAATGAGACTCTGGTCTGCTCGAGCACCCAACGACTTTAATCTCCGTGACTGTAAGTATTGTCAATGATTTCTCATTCTTTGGCTGGAGGAAATGTTAGGAAAATTGTTGTCTTCAGGCGTAGGCAGACCTAGTTTTGCAAGCCACCAAGGCCCACTCTGACCACACTGCCGAAGTTTGAAGGTAGTTTCCTCACTGGAAACAACAATGGAAGAATGGAAGAGCTCATATCTGCAGCGTTAGTGTAAAAACAAATACTTTGGATGGTTATTTGTATTTTGAAAGTATTTTCCATTGACCTTCATGCTTTCATTATGGGCCTATCCATGGTGGCCTTCATTACAGATTGAACCTTGGCAATGACAGGACTGAAGATTATAGCCCATAATAATTTACTATAACAAAATAGGGCTTTTTTTACCTAGTCACTGAAATGTGTGGCAGTAGTTCCTAGTGTGATCAACAGTTCTCAAATACAGATTGGAGAGTTTCAGGGATTTGGGGTAGGATACAGCATTTTTCTGACCTGCAGATAGCTGTCAAAAACAGAATTCTAACTGAGTTCCTCTTCTGCAAACTACTAGTATATTGTCAGACTAATAATGGGCAAAGAGATCTATTTTTCTCCCTCCTAACCCTTTTGTCAGGGTTTTTTCTTTCCTAAGGGGAGTAGAGGCTATTTTCTGCCTTCAGCAATGTTGCTATGTAACAACTAGAGACATGGAAGCTTGGGAGAGAAGAGAACATCCCTGGAACCAGGGATCGGAAACCCGTGATCCTCCTCATGTGGCTGAACTACAGTTCCCAGCAGCCTCTGCACAGAGTCAAATGCTGGGAATTGGTATTTAACAACAATTGGAGGGCCACGGCTCTTTCCATCTTGCCTTAAATGCAATAGGAGGAGTAGCTGCTCCTGGCAGAGTGTCCTTAGGAAACATCTCCCAAGCATTTTCTTGGGGTCTAGGGATTCATGAAGAAAGCTGGAGGTACTAAATAAAGAGAGAAATAAATAGATAAATCAAGGAAGCAGAGATGCTTGGGAAATTGCTAGCGCTTGGGGCAGAAGAAGGTCTAATAAAGCATTTCCCAACCTTAGCTATTTTAAGACGTGTGGACTTCATCTCCCAGAATATCCCTGCCAGGAGTGCTGGGTGGGGTTTTCTGGGAGTGGAAGTTCACACATCTTAAAATGGCTGAAGATGGGAAACAGTGGTCTAGTCTATTAGCTCAGCATCAGGAAGAGAGGGAAGAGAAAGTCCCTTCCATTTCCTTCCTCTGATATATTAACACTTCTGGTAAGGGAAGACCGAAAAGAAACTAGAGCAGGCTTCCCCAGCCTGGACATCCAAATTTCCAATCTGTCTGACTAATGGCTGGAAGTTCTGGAAGTCGTACACAACTCAAGAACACCAGATTGAGGAGAGCTGGGATAAAGGACTTCTTTTGAGGGGCTGGAAGGAAACTTGATACTTCACACTAGCAAATTTACTCTTTAAATGCTAAGCAAATGCCTTGTTTTGGAAAGAAGAAGCCCTGCACATTCCTAATATAATTCTGCGCTAAGTAGACAGGAAAAAAGTTGTGTGTTTTTTTTCAACTCTCCATTCTCCCCTCCCACTGATACTGAACAGCTGTGCATGTTTTATTTCAACCTCCCTGTGCAGTTAATGTTGGTGATTACATTCAAGCGGTGCTGGACAGAAACTTGGCAGAGAACATCTCCCGCGTCCTCTATCCAAATGATAACGTAAGTTCCAAGCACTGTGAAGTGTTGCCTGCTGGTGGGAGGGAATGAAAGAAATGGGGGCTGTGACCACTTTACTTCTTAAGTGGGCACCCTGCTGATCATTCAGAACCAAACATGGTGGCAAATTGCCTCTTTTTGTGTATGTTGCAGAGCTGATTGCCTAAGTCAGTGGTGGCAAACCTATGGCACGCGTGCCAGAGGCGGCACTCAGAGCCCTCTCTGTGAGCATGCGTGCCATTGCCCCAGCCCTGCCTCCCCCTGTGGCCCCCTCCTCACCAGCAGCCCCCCCCAGAGGAGAGTCATCCCCAGGCACGGCCCGTATGGAGCAGCGCAGCCAAGGACATGGCACCAGACAGCGGGGACAAGACTTTGCCCCCACACCCCATCGTGCGCAGATGCTGCTGTGGGTGGAAGGCATGGCCACCATGGCGCTGCAGGGCCACCTGGGCGATCTGCGGCAGGCCGTGGAGGCGGTAGGTGGGCCTGCGGGCGGGGGATGGAGCAGGGGCGATGGGGCGGAGCAGGCGGGGCAGAGAGGGAGCCGGCGGGGCAGTTTTGGGACACTCGGTGTCTAAAAGGTTCACCATCACTGGCCTAAGTCATCAAGCCCATAACCAACTAACACAGGGCCTGGGAGAACAACCAGGATTTAAACAGTTTATGAAAGGTCAGAAGGTTAGGAACAGTCTGAATATCCAGGGGGATATAATTCCAGAGAGCAGGAGCCATCCCTGTAAAGAAATGCTTCCTAGGCCCCACCAGATGACACTGCTTAATAGAACACAAAGCATGCATGCTCTGCCAACCCTGATCAGATGAGCAGAAACATATGGGGACAGGTGGTCCATCCAGTAGCCAGGCTAATGTGCACATTTGTGTGGGGGTTTATAAATGATAATCAGCACCTTGAATTGCCCCAGAAGCCAACTGGCAAATCATGTCCTTGTGAAGCAATGGTGTCATGTGCGCATACTGTGACACACCCATCAGAGCCCACCCCACTGCATTCTGGATCAGTTGTAGCTTCTGAGTGGTCTTCAAGGGCTGCCCTTACAGTAAACCAATCAAGAAGTGACCAAGGCATGAGTGACTGTCTAAAGAGCCTCCCAGTCCAGAAGTGGGCACACTTGATACACTTGATAAACCCACACAGAGACCCTCCTGTCCATAGTTGTCATCTGCTTTTTTGACCCAAGGGAACACACATATAACCTGATTGTGCATCCATCTCACATGGGGTAATGCTGCTCCATTGATAATGAAATATGGAGGGTCCAGAAGATAGACAAAAGCATCTCGTCCTCTTAGGATTAAGCCTGAGCCTGTCCCTCCCCATCCACACCTCCACCACCTCCAGGTATCGGGTCAGGACAGCATCATTTGGTGGTCCTGGGGTCAAGTTGTATAATTGGGTATCATCCGCATATAAGATGATTTCTGACTCTAGACTGATGGATCAACAATTTTCATGTAGAAATTGAACACTCGTTAGAGGAAGTGTTGCAATACTTCCCCTAACAAACCCACAATGTAGTCGCAGTTTATCTCACTATGTAGAGAGGAAGTTGAAACAGAGAGGGACTTATGCAAAATTACCAGTTACATTCAATTACATTCATAAGGGACCTACAACAATTTATACTAAAAAGCATAACATTCCTTGTAAAGTAAAGCTGAAATCTCTGACATACAGTATATCAACCGTGTGAAGTTTTCCACTGACTAGCCTATTTTGCACACAGACTCTGCTGTTCACCACTAGAAAATATCCTAATGCCTGTGATTATTAACCTGGCTTTCCTTTTTCCAATACTGAGAATTTAAATTAAAATTATCTAATCCAAACAACTGAAAGAAGCTCTCCTTGGCAGGGTAGCGTGGAGAGCACTTGCCTATAAAGTCGCCAAGAGTCAGACATGACTGAATAATTAAAACAGCAACATTTCTAGATGCTGTATCAGGGGTTGCTGCATTCTCCCAGTCTATGCAGTATTTCAGGTTAATTAAATGAAGTTACTACAGGTGTAACAGCATGGATAGGTCCAACCAATGGGTTGTCTGGGCCAGCCTTCCAGCTCCCCCCAAGGACTAATCAAAGATCTCCGGGAAGATGCCAAGAAAGGCAGGAAGGCCATAGCACACTTGCTCAGTTGCCTTCTGGCATTTTGAGATTTAGAATATTTCTATTGTTCCCATAATAACAAAGAGCCACTGATTGACCTCCTTCTTTTCCCATAATTTATCTAACGCTTTTCTGAAGTCATTAGTGGTAGTCCTCCACTTACGATGATATTGGGACTAGAATTTCAATTGCTAAGCGATGCGGTTGTTAAGTGAATCATCATGTGACCAGGCCCAATTTTATGATAATTTTTACTGCAGTCATTAAATGAATCACACAGTGAAGCAAATCCAATTTCCCCAATTGACTGTCAAAAAAGGTTGCAAAGTGAGATCAGAGGACTGCAGGACCCTGCAACTAGTCGTAAAAGCGAGCTTGTTACCAAGCACCTGTATTGCAATCATGTGACCATCGGGTTGCACAAACATCTTAAGTGCCAGGACAGGTTGTAAATATTTTTTTCTGAGGTTGTTGTAACTTTGAATTGTTGTTAAACGAACGGTTGTGAGTCGAGGACTACCTGTACCTCATTTTGAAAATTGAAAGTCTTAAGAGAAATGAGATGATACTGGCAGGATATTGTGTGGTCCGTGGGTCAGAATACATCAGAGGGACAAGTACACCAATCAGCCTCTCCCGTACAGCTGTATGATGATGTATGACTGTAATATTCCCAAAGATGCTTTTTCACAAGGCAGCTGGACTTTCTTGGATGAGAAACGAAACATCTTCAATGAAAAACAAGAAAGTCCAATTGCCTCATGAAAAAGCATCTTTGGGATAACTATGACCTGGATGACTGAGAATCTCCATAGACATATGACTGTAATAAAGATTTGATTTGTTTATAGCTGCCCAAAGGCTCAACAATTGGATGACTG